TTTCAGAATAGGAATTCCATCCCTCTCTCGATTTACGCGACAATTTGCGAAACGAGGTCGCGGCAATTGTTCTCGTGAATCGGGCGTTTTTTTTCTGACGCTTTTTACTGCCCTCCCCGCACATACACGCATGCTTTTAATGTTACAAAAAGAATTTTTAATTTGCAAGATTTGAGGAAATTTCCGGTTGACGGGAGCACGGACAGAGTCATAACAATGAAAAACCAGCGGATGGGGCTTTTAGCGAAACTTTCCTTCGAACGACGCGTCCCACGAATTTCGCTGCAATTTGTTTTCTTTTTTATTAATACGATACTTTTCCATCACACCACTCGTACCTGCGCTTTTCCAGTTCAACGCTAAAATAACCGAGCTGCTTGGTACACCTAAAAAGTTATCGTTAAAAAAAAAAAAAAAAAAAAAATACAATCCAGTTAAGAAAAAACAAACACATTATGGGCGCCCAGGTAATTCACCGATGGACATACGGATACGACCATCTCGTGAGCCAAAACTTGTGTGCACTACTCTGACCCCGTATAGCTTAGGAGCAAATCGTCGATATCCGGTGTGAAAGGGTCAAGCGCGCGTACCAGGAGAAGGCGTGTAAGCCAATCGCGTCGCGCAAGATCGGCCAACGCGACGTTGAGTTTTGCTCGAGGCTTGTCACGTGTAGTATATAGCAGCGGTGATGGTATACAGTCGAAGGAATCGAACCGTATGATTTTCGACAAGTTCGCCCGAGGGGGGGGGATATTGCGCTCACGGTGGTGCCGGCACCCTTGTCACTCTGTGCACGTATACACCTGTGCACGGATGTACCATGTACTATTTTATTTTATTTTATTTTTTTCAAGTTCCTCGTGCCCCCACCCCCCTTTTTTTCGACTTTTATACACTTATTCTTGCATCTCCCAGTTGTACACATACCGATTTACGCGTTGCCCGATTGAAAAGGGTTGTTCGAGCGCTTCGTTAAGTCCAACTCTATTGTTAAAATGTATTTTTTAAATGGAAAACCCAATTACGCCTATCCGACGATTTTCAAGCTTCGCTAAAAAGACGATAAAATAAAGATGCAGCTTGCAAATTGATAAAAATAATTGCAATCGCCATGAGAATCAAGTTGCAACATGTTATTGTTTTGTAACTAAAGAGTGAAATAAACTGATACCCGCTAGTAATAACCAATTTGGTTGTAAAATCGACGATAAGAGTACTTGGGTGTCCTCAAGAGCAGCATCAGCAAGATGATACCTTATACTTGTGTCACTATAATACTATATAAACCTCCCCTAGAGGTAAGGTAAGAACCTTGGGCGTATATACCGACGCTTGGGGGATTAAAGTCGCTCGTATAGCCAATATGGTCGATCGTCACCGGGGGTATTAGTTTGATTAGCTGTATCTATCAAACGGGGCAGGATTTGCCCAGCCGCGCTTGCTACCCGCGTTCAAAGTGCGAATTTCTTGATCCGACTTTCCCTCTTCCTTTGGGTCTGCGTCTACAATGTGTCTTCCGTTGTGTGCGCGCGACACCGTTGGCTGGCTCGTTCGTTTGTTCGGCAAGTCTAATTACCACAGGCTCTTTGGCTGGTATGACACAACTTTGCGCATCCTTTGTCGCTCGGGATTTGAGGGCATTACGTCCGGGAAGGTGCAGAATCCGTGGGGTAGTATTTGTTTGTTCTCACTTTGATTTTTTTCTTTTTTTTCTTCTTTTTTTTGGCCTTTGGATATTTAAACAAACAAGTGACCAACTACTTCGGTGTACAACTACTTTTTTTTCTCGTAAGGAATGTTGGCAAATATGAAGCTCCACAATGCCTACGAGAAAAAAAAAATATATATCCTCACCAGAAAACCGAGATGTCGTATGAGAATAAAAAATATCACGTCCAAGGACAAAAAGGAAAAATCTCGTGAAAAAAAAAAAAAAAAAAAAAAAACAAGAAGAAGAAGAAAGGACTTGATTTACTCTTACGCTCGATTCGCGAAACAATACTTTACGTTCCGGTCTGTTGTTCCGAATATTGTCGCGCGGATTTATTTTCTTTCCTTCCTACCTCGTGAATGATAAATTAGTTCGTTTTCGGCATTTCTGCATACCCATCATAGTTAGGAGTTTTTTTTTTTTTTTTTTTTTTCATAGAGAAAAGGAATATAAATCGAGGTTTCCCTTGAACATTTTATTTTGCTTTACTCGAGATGAATAACTTTAGAGATTTTGGGGGAAAAATAATATCCTCCAACGAAAAAAAAAAAAAAAAAGAGAAAGTCGCCGGTCTTGTAAAAGAATAAAAGTACAAAAAGACAGGACGAGCAACTTGTCCGCGCGATAATTTTCCCGCTTTTCCACGCATCGAGGACGAGTGTATCGCGCGCGGTGGTGCGACGTTAAAAAAAGAAAATAGACAAAAGAAAGAAAAAAAGGAGGGGGGAGGGAAAGACGGAAGAGAAAGAGATTTCACCACAAGCGCACGGAGAATACACCCATCTGCGTGTATACATAAGCACGGGAGCGTAGTCGAAAAATGGGTCGGGTTTTTTGCGAGCTCGTCCTTGCGAACGAGCCATATGAATTATCGAGTCTCTCTTCTGCGCTACTCCTGACTGTGTATGTACGTATGTACTATATATACCCATGTGTCCTGCACGCGAGTGCATAATATATTTATATACCGCGACTGAGCTTTTGAAGGACAACTCTATATGCCACTGTGCATGCGTATGTATGTGTGTACTTGTATATATATGTATATATATATATGATATTGTCTCTGTCGCGCGCGTGGCTTAATTTTCATCAACACCACCAGCCTCGTTTTTCTCTCGCCACGAGGGCGCATTAACTCGTTCGCGGAATACGATGAGCTTCACATTGTCCCTGCTGTATGGATTTTTGATTCTTGCCAGTGATTGTCCAGAAAGTGATGCGTGTTTTTGATCGATTGTTTTATGAAAATAAAATATCGCGCGAGAGCGAGCTGTTTTTATTACTTGATCACATGAAATTCAAAATCATGAGTATAGGTGCAAGTGTTGTGGAAAAATAAGCGGTGCTTAAACATCGCAATATATACGCTAACGCTATGTATAGGTACACTCGGGGTGTAACCATTGCAATGTGGATCAGTGGACCACCTCATTAGCCTCCTCCTCTTTGAGCTCCCTGTGATCGGCCTCGCGTGAAAAGACAATAACCGGTCCACCTTGGGACCCTTTTCTTCCCTTCCCTTCTCCCCCCCGTTGCTTTGTTGCACAACAGGATCACCGGCCTTGCTCTTGTCTACGCATTTACTGGTGTCCTGCGTGATGGTTTTTATCGCGTATTTTCGTCCATCTGCCAACACGTAGTACTTGTGATGTTTGCATTTACTTTAATCACGTTATACCTTGATTCTGCAAGCACATCATGTACTTTAAAGTCAAAGGATTTAGGACATGCAATCGGCTTTTAAACGAAAGTAGTGTTGATGCTCTCTCCTTGTTGTGTAGCATCTCCTCGCGTTGGCAAGGACGACCCAGCGAAACAGCGCTTTTTACATTTGGCTCGCAAAAATACCCCCCAAGTTTATCGCTCGAGGGTGGTACGTTTGCACATGGATCGGTTGGTGTACAAATCGCGGCTAATATTCTTTGTTTTATTGTCGTGGTCGGTTAAATCGAGGAACAAACCTTGGGGCTTTTTAGTTAAAATAATAAAATTTTTAACCGAAGCTATTAACTTTAGTCAACCTGAAACCCATCGATCGACGAGTCTGAACATCGTGAACTCGGTGGTACGCTGCTTGAAGGACTGATGGTGGATTGGCAGGTGATGAAAGCTTAGATTTAGGACTTCACAATCGACGAGAAGAATGGAATTTGTGTATACGTATACCCATTTGGTGGTAGAGTCGGATATTTTTAGGTGAGGGCCCAATAGCGTCGGTGGCTTTGTATGGGTATACATATGTTCAATGAACGAGTGCCGAGTTTCGAGGTCAAAAGTAATGGGTGGAGGAACAAAAGGACGAAATCGGCCGGTAACAGCGAATGACGAGGAGGACGCGGGTTTTGTTATTACGATGCGATGCTTACTTTGCGCTAAGAGAAATGAGATGGTAATTTATAAGGTCACGCTCGAGTGTCTATACTTACACTTGCGGAGGACCAAGCGACTCGCGTGTGATCGATTGAGACGTAAAACAGACAATGATTTATGCATGTCTTGAGACGGTTCGCTCGAGTGTGTCTCTGAAGCAAAGAAATTCATTGAATAGGTTACGCAAGTCGTACAATTTCGTAAAAAGAAAAAAAAAAAAAACTTGCTCCTTCACAAAAAAACAGTGAAAATGTCCTTGGGATTTGTTTCTTAATTTTGGATGTAAGTACGAATGGTTTGAATGAAAGTATAACTATTACAAATCAAATCATTGCTTACACCCACCTATACAATACATTATGTACAGACGGGCAAAATGATGCATTCGACAAATCTTTCCCCGTATTATTTTCACACTGAAAGGCTCATCGTCGATGCGTATAAAATAAAAACACTCGACACCAGACGCGTAATACATTGAACGGGAAAATAATGACCTCGAGGAAGGAGCATGTTTTGCACAACCTATACGAATAATAATAATAATAATAATAATATAGTATACCAGCAACGTAACACCACCAAATCCGGCATGTAAGTACACTCGACTGGAGAGGGATAAAATGGGTATAGGTGTACAGGCTCCCTATCGCCGATCAGCGCGTGTTCGACGCACACACCAACCTTGGTGGGGACGCCAGAAGAACCACAGGCTTTGTTTTTCTCTGTTTTACAGTGGCTGCGATTAAACGCATTCGCGCGAGGACAACGCAAGTGCTCTCTTTTTTTTTCGCACAGGCACTTGGTCTTGGTCTTTCAATCTCCCCTTTCGGATGGTCCAAGGATTTACCATCACCTCTCGGAAGCTCGCCGGGCGGCCTTGAACGGATTTCGCGCAGTCCCGGGTATAAAAGCCCTCGTGGACCATCCGTTCGCCATCAGTTCTTCGATAAGTCCCCGTGAAAGAGCACCACCGAGTCCACCATGTTCAAGCTCGCCGTTGTCGTTCTCGCCGCTTGTCTGGCCGGTGCCAGCGCCGGTCTCTTGGCCCCGGCGCCCCTTGCCTACTCCGCCCCGCTGACCTACGCTGCCCCGGTCTACAAGACCTACGCCGCCCCGGTCGCCCCCATCTACAAGGCGCCTCTGGCCTACGCCGCACCGGCAGCTCCCATCTACAAGGCGCCTCTGGCTTACGCCGCACCGGCACCGGCTCTGGCCTACGGCTCCTCCTCCGTCGTCAAGACCCACGCCTTCCTGTGAGAGGTGACCTGGGAGCCGAGAAAATCTGGAAGCCCTGACCTTTTCGCTCGCCGTTAGCTGTTTACATGTATATTGTTTCTCTCCCATGTGTGCGCGTGTGTGTGTGCGTTGTGTGCGTGCTCGAGCACCGCCAAGTTTCCTGCTTGTAAAATTTTGTGTATTTATTGTGTATTTCGAGCACGTGTTTTGTTGCTGTCATCAATGCTATACTTTTGTTTTCAATAAATTTACGCACTTGGTTTGAGTAATCATCGCCCACACTTCATTGTACGTTTCCTCATCATAATCCTTCCGATAAAACAATTAATCAATCATCCTTAATGGATTGAAAAATGACTCGAGTGATAGCAGTATTTTTTTTTTTTTTTTATTACGAAAGACTTGATTGGCTTTACTGTCTATAGATAAATGTGTTGTAATTAATTGGTCGGCCAATATATATTTAATAATGGTTACACTGGTCATTGGTTAATTGAATTAAGTAGCTAATCTTTAAATCAAACTTTATGAGGTTTGTGGTTACAGCAGAGATATTTGAACTGAGTACTTTATTCAAGGTATTTTTTGTTCAGGATAGTTGTGTATGTTCCAATAGTTAAGTATAATTCACGAAAATTAATTTCATGCAGAGATGAGTTACACAAATATTTAAGTAATTCGTAAATATCGAGCAATTAAGGAAAAAACTGTTTCAGCTTTAGTCGTTATACACGTACGGTTTACAAATTTTTGTTTCAATAATTTTCACTGTGGCTTTCAGTAACGAAGCATGGCAACACAACTTTCAAACTGACGTAAGATTAAAAATTACAAGGAAGATTTACTATCCGCACAGCATAAATATTTTTTATTTATTTATTTACATTGACTAAGTGAATATTTCAAGAGTCTATTGACGTGTTCTGATACGAGAAATCTATTTTAAGCAGATGCACACGCTTAGATCAATTTTTTTTTATTTTTCCTCTCTCCTTGCTGTCGGAGCATCGGTGGGGGAACCTTTCATCAGAGTGACAGTGACAGGTTCGTTTTTGAAGAATGATGTAAGCAATTTTTTTTTTTTTTTTTTTCAGCGATGATTCAAAGTACATTTAAACTGCTTTCGATTACGATTGGAAGACCCGTGGAAAACGTGCAGCTTGAATTTTCGTATCTTAAAATAATCTTGTTAGCCTAAATAAAAAAAATAACTGTCGCATTGACTCGATGAAAAATGAAGCAAGATGATAATAAAAAGCTCCCGTTGAGTGTTGCTTCGACTAAATCCATCTCGAATAATAGATTGAAGTGAGGTGCTGCTTCCATTCGTTGAGTAAAACGATAGTAATGTATCCCCGCTCGATTAATTTTAAATCAAAAATACATTCGTTTTAAAACTCGAAAGTTTTATCAAAAAATTAATTTCACTGAGATGTTGATTTGTATACGTAAGTATGGACGTTTCGGGACCTGAAAGGTGACTCATCGCGAACAATTATTTTTAGAAAAATTGTCGTGATTATTGGAAATTCGACCAGAAACGTACACGAGACAGTTATATTTTTCTACTCCCCTCCACAGCGCCAACCCGAGTTGGTTTCTTTGCCCGCGTGTGCTACCGACTAACGAAAAGCTCAACAGTCCATTTTTTGTACCTCCGAGTGTTGCATTGGCAGGGATGAGCAGTCAGTCGAACTATCCGTGGGTTTTGAAGTCCGTCGAGCTCAACGTGCCACCGAGGACGATGACCGTTACCCCAATGAGGACCTTGACGGACAGGTCCAGGGTCATGCCTGCGTACCACGTCTACGAGTTCAAGAAAACGACGGGTCTTTCGTCCTTCTTTGCAAGTTTTTTCCAGGGAAACAAATCGAAGCATCGTTTGCGGTAGACTACATTTCATGCATTCAATTGGTGATTAGTTAAACAAAAAAATTATAAATAATCAATTGAGTCATCCTTGATTACATGGGACACTAAAGTTTTATCATTACTTCAATACCATCTGTATTGGATTAGTGCTTGTTTTTGGCAGATAATAATATTTATATATTTATCACGAATCATATTTGTGCATAGCTGGGCCACAAAGTTGTACAATTGTTTAAATAAAATTCATCTACGTATGCAAGAATGTTCTCATTTTCTTCATTACTTATTACTAACATTCTTAAAGTGATTGTGAAAATTTTTGTGAATTTTTTGGATTTTACCCAAAATTTCATTTCCAAAAAATATAGTGGTATTATGTACTCAAAAATAAAGATTACAGAAAAAAAATTGAAAAGGATATACTAGGATCAAGTAAATAAAAAAATAACAATCGTGTACAGATTTGTGTATAGATAACTCGATCAAACGTAAAATGTATTTCTGTCTAGAGTAAAAGACAATTTCAGAGGCATAACAAAAAAAAAAAAAAACAAGTAAAACCTTCTACGAGAATCTTTTGGTTTATGGAAAACAATTCAAGGATTAAGTAATAATTTTTCTCGATCGGTGTGTTTTCCTAAATATTTTCTTTATCATAATAAAATAAAAAGTTATTTATAATTCACATCAACCGATAGTGATTCACTTTTACAAATAGTAATTGTGAAAAAGAGACTTTCTTACACTATTTTATTTTTTTTATATTCAACCTATGTCACTGTTCCGTTAGAAAAACAATGTAGATCACCAGGTACGACCAAGTTCAATAATAATCTGACGATAAAATTTTACTACGGTGCATACTCGCAGTATTTCGGAATGACATCATCATCATCCCTATTGGTTATAAAAAGCATGACAATCATTAAGAATCGTGATGTATGATTTTATAAACGCGTGATCATGTAATCTTGTATCAATTACATCACCTACAGGCATAAACGATGGTGATTTAATGAGGGTAACATAAATTTAAGATCAATAAAACTGGTACCGGTAAATACTTCGTACGTCCCATTACGCACACCTCATATTTCAAAAATGCCATACAATTTCACGTTTAACGGCCAATAAAGTTTCTTACGCGTTATTTTAAGTAACGTGTTTACCGAAGCAGTAATTCATCGGTGGCTTGTTCTTTTCATCGAGGGATCCACACTCTCAACGCCGATGCATATACAAATACGGACAAGGTCAAAATTGATCACTCTCCTCGTGCACCTCAAAAGTGAAAGTCAGTATATTATATATAATATATATACGGTCTTACGTCTTTGGGCACGTGATAAAGAGAGCTGAGGCTGGCGATTTTCAAGTACACCCGTGTACCTCTCACCCGCAATTTAAAAAAAAAAAAAAAAAAAAAAACAAGTTCTTTCCGGCAAAATTGTTTTCTCTTCATATTACATTCATTACGTAGTTAACGCTGTTTCGTATGTTTTCTGTAATTTATACAAATTAAGTATCGTGCACGTTTCGATGAACAATGTTTATTATTTTTTTTTTTTTCTTTTGAAATAAAAGCACTCATTTTTCAAATTTAAAGTGCATCCCAAACAAAAAAAAAAAAACTAAAGCTCTTTCTTGCAAAGTTTCAACTGGACGTAAAAATGAGGGGAATGTCTAGAAATTTTTAAAAGTTGAAAATGCTTTTCCTCCAAGTGACGCGAAATATTCACGTTTCACGAAGATGTTTTTTTTTTATCATCATCCCATGTGTAGCGTTTCTATACAAAATGATTTAGGCAGTAATTTTTAACAATCAATAAAATAAAACTAACACTCGCAAAAGAAAAATTGTACTTTCAGCCTCCACCTAAGGTCAATCGAATAAAAATTTGCTCTCCCTCGTGCCCGTACCAATAAAAAAAAAAAAAAAAAGAGAAAAAAAATAAGCCAGAGCAGCTCTCGCGAAACACAAAATGCACTTGCCCCCGCGTCACCATCCCGACTTTCTATTAGCGCGCGTCCAATCTTCTTTTCGCGGATTTGCGTCTCGCCAGCTCGAATTCACCTTCCTCTCTCTCTCTCTCTCTCTCCTTATTTATTTACCTCCTACCCCTTTGCCCTCCTCGATCGCTGCCACCTCCCTAATGACTTTTGTCCGGCTTTGTTTATTTCACAGGCAGGCCCTTTCCCTGTCCCATCCACCTTGCACTGTCGCCTCTCGCTTTCTTTCCCTATTAAGTGCGCTGCCGCGGCTACTTTGCCGGTGCGCGTATTGTACAACGGCTCTCGGAAGTGGCTGGCGTTACCTTTTTTCCCCTTCTTTTCTGAAACCCCCCGGGCCTTTGTTCTCCGAGCTTGGCCATGCAAATTTATTTAATCACAGGTCACATCTTTTTTTTTATTTTTTCATTTTTTTTTTTTTTTTTTTTTTTTTTCCTTCAACAATCGATTCCGGTGGTAAAGTGAGCTGTTGATTTTTGGTCGAGCCAACTTTTGCGCGCGAAGGATGAACTTTTTTCTTTTCTCGCCCATCAACGATTGTTTCGGTGAAAATGTGCCTTTTTCTTTTCTTTTTTCAAAGTTACACGAGTTTCCTTTAGAAAATGTTCCCACGTTGCACCGGAACGAGTGGTGTACACGGGCGGAAATGTACCTAGGAAATTTAAGCACGCAAAGTTTTAGCGTTTGCTTATTAACATAAATACACGGTCGGTGGGTACGCAACAACGCAGGACGAAAATTGTATGTCCCCCCTCCCAAAAAAAAAAAAGAAAAAGAAGATAAATGATGCTAGGATCGCGTTGACGATATTCGTTGCGTACACTTGTTTCGCCCGCTAGAAACCACCCGAAAACATTGAGGGGGTAAAAAAACGCCAACTCAATTCCAACTCCCAAAGTGACTCATTCCCAATGAAGAGCCAACTTTTTGGACCCTCTGTCGGCCCCGCTCGTCCTCTCCCCTGCACCCTCCCACGGGGTATTTACGGAAATTCAAGTGCAGGCACATTAGCCCTTTTCTCCGGGATTTCAATATGTTTCGCGGCCCTCCTCCCCCCATTACATTCACCCGCAGCCGCGCGCATTCAAAGCCAGCGTTAATTTAACGAGCGAGCGGATTCACGACTTCCGAGTGTCATGAACGAGCCTCGTTTGTTATTAGCTCTGCTGTACAACGGTTCGAGGGTTGTCGCTTGAATTATTTTCGGATAAATGCCGTGGGAAATGGTGGGTGTTTTCGGCAATGGGAGGGTTGGAAAACTTTTGCTTACGAACCTCGAGATTCCGGCGGGTGTCGGAGAAGACAGGAGGCTCGGCATCGATGGTTGCTTCTTGTCGGGGTGAATTTCGCCACCAAAGATCTTTCGTTTAACTTTCACCCTCGAAACGGGCGGAGAAGAAAAACATCTTTGCCGTCGCACAGTGTTGCACTCAAAGTTCACGTTTCACCTGGGCGTGTTCGCGGTGGTGCGGTGATAATGAACTCGCGGCTTGAAAAATGAGTTTTACAGTGTAAAACCGGTAACAAGCTGGAAATGAAAAATTTTCACTCGTTTGCTCAGCCCTCGCTTACTTGCCGAGCCTTCAACATTAATTGGATCTTCTTTTGTACTCTCGTTTGTTGATTTTTTTCATTATTTATTTTTAAATTATGGACCACCGTACCTTTTGTACCTTTTTTTTTTTTTTTTACGCAACGAATGAGATAATTAATTTTTTTATTACTTTAGAATTTACCATCGATTTTAAACACCCAATCTCCGATGCAAGCAATACTCAGAATTTCGATGTGTTTAAAAGTTGGTGGAAACGACGCGATGACTTATTGATTACGTGCTTCCACCCAACCCCTCCAAAAGTTTGCAATTTCGTCCCGATGATTATACGCTTTCCTGTACAACTTCAATTAAAAAGGTAACAGGTAATTATATTTCATGGCTTCGAAAGCAAATACATAATTATACAAATATTTCATTAAAAACAACATTATGGTGCAAAGTATATTGATTGTTATTTATGTTGATAATTATCCGTGGAATTTGATGGAAAAAGGCGTAGTAAATGACTCTATCGCTGAATTATTTACGTTTCGAGCAAACATTTCACTTCAATCGGCTGCAATAAAAGTATAATTAAAAATATTCTTCCACACGATCGCGATCACTTTTTCCCCAAACTCAACGTGGTAATCAACGATACCGTTTTGCAACACACCAACCCTTCTTTGAATAATTTCACATTCGCGATCGAAATCGTATATTTGCGTCCGCCCGGAAACGTTTTATATCTCCGTCGAGCAGGCAAATTCAATAGTATACCGTGGAAGCGTCGGGGAGTGGGGTATAAAGGAAATGCTCAAAGGACTTAGGTATCTTCCAATTAGAGTTCGGCGACAAACGAGCCAACCCAATGGGATTATTTCGAGGGCTGCATGCGAATATGCGAGTTGATACGCGCACGGGAGGAGAACAGGGGCGATCGGCGGGTCTTCGATAAGACAGATTGGACAAACTGCAAGGACAGGGGTATTTTTCGCACTGATGCACAAATCGTTTCAAAATTTTCAGATTTTGGTGGGAAAGATCGGTAAAGAGAGAAAATGTAATTGATTGTTTTTCGAAACGCATCACCATAGAGTACCCCTTTAATGATCATGTTATTATCCATTCAATATATATAGCCCCTAGTGGAAAATTGCCACCCCCGAAGAACGTGTCGACACGATGAGATTGTAGGACTTCCAGTTAACATTTGTAGCACTTGTGTATTCACAACAACCGACACTAGATTTTGATTTAAATGCAGATGGTATCCTCGGTAGAAGCAATCACTCGTTTGCCATTAAAAAACACGGATGTGAAAGAGCAAACCCGGCAAAAACTGCTTTTAAGATTATTTAACTTTTTCGATGCAAAGATACAGCCGATCTCCGATGTACCGAAAAATGTAAATGTTTGGCATCAAAGAGACGAGTGCCGATCGACTCGATAATATGCTCGAATAAGATACAATTTTTTTTGTTTTTCTCTCTCGATCACCATACGGTTGAAAACTAATGCAAATGCACCGTACGAGTGATTGAGAAGATGATTAAAAAGCGCGCACAGTGTGGGCGAAATCTTCAGCCGCGAGTCGTCGCGTTTCCACGAGACACACCGTATACCCCCACCTGTATACAACGAGGAAGTGCAGGGCGACGTAATTAAGTTGTTCCTTTCGCGTGGGTCGAGTGGCCACTCGGAAAAATGAGGATGCCAGGCCGAATGGCCGAAATATCAAATAATCAAGGGAGCGCGGACTTTTTCTCTTTTTACCCCGACAACTTCCCGCGGTACCACTTTTCCCGATAAAAACAAGGACCCGCGTCGCTCGGCTATCTCATTACGAGGCTGTTTGCAAAGTGTAACCGAGCCGCCGTTGGCATGGAGGAGGATGACGAGGGGGGGGGGAGGGAGGAGTTTTATTTTTGCCGTGCAAAGGGCGCGTCGTGGAAGTTGCGCGGCCCGTTGGCGAGTGTCGTGCTCGGGATTAAAGTGGGGGATGACCAAACGACGCGTCGGAGGAGGAAATTTAATCGCGAGCTAATACGACTCGCAAATTACCGATGCGCTTATTTACGTGTACGATGTATTGGACGATCGCGGATCGGAAACAAATTGCGCAACGACTAATTGGGACTTTCCGCGTTACGTTTGGCTGATTGTTTGCCGCTTGAAGTTGCCACCGCGAATATCTAGTTTGGTTTACGATCAAACGAGTTCATGTATATTGTACAGTTGAAATAAATCATTGTTGCTTCAACCAAGAAGTTTTAGTTTTTTTTAATTTATTTTTTAATTTTATTTTACTTTTTTTGTTGTTTTAGTTACACGTTGGAGGTAAAATGTATCAAGTTTACGTTTATTCTTGAAATAAAAAATAAAATTCATGTACAGCTCGACTCATCGTCAATCGTATAGTGGAATGTAGTCACCGTACCAACCATAGGTGATTGTACAAAAAAGTCTCTCACGGTCGAGCGATATCTCGATAGCCCCGGGTAATAGAGAAACACAATTCCACGTATACGCAGAAAAGAGGGGGGAGGGAAAAGAATAGAGAAAATTTATCGAGGGAAAAAAAGTAAAAAGCCGGCTATCGGCGACACGTCGCGGGCAGGTTGTCCGTTGGCGCGGTAGTTCACATCAGAGGGGGAAGAAAAAAAAAGAAGAGTAAGAGGGTGATGGCTAGTCGCGGCACTGTCGGAGGCTGACGACGCACTGGTTCAGCATCAGCCAACTCGGAGGAGGTACGCCGCGCGCTTTGATCGAGAGAGAGAGAGAGAGCCCTTGCGCGTGCGATGCTGCAGCTGCGCGATGCGAGAGCTCTATCTTTAGGTGTGTGTGTGTGTCCACGCTTTCGGGGGTGCAACTTACACACCTCCGAGCCATGATACGTATACGGTCGTGCGTGATTCGCCAGGGCTGGTTTCAAATTTCAGGGATGCGAACCGTTTGACTGGTAGGGAGATTTTCACCCCCCCCCCCAAATTGTGATACCTTCTATAGGGTTCAAAAGTTTCTGCTCGCGAGGGGTTTTGTCCTTGCACCCTTTTTTCCCGCACGAAGTTCGTAAATCAGGAAAAAAAGGGTGCGAGTGAATCCTCGATCGCGGCAGAGATTCATTTCGGGTGTCGGGCATAGACGGGAATAATCGTAAGCGGCTTTTTACCACCACCTCCTTCTTACAGGTGCTCTCTTTTTTTTCTTTCTTTCTCACCACCTTCTTCCGGCAAAGCCAGCCACTGGATAGTACCTTTTCTTACCCCCATTCGATTCTCGCCAGCACCCCGTATCCGGTTATATTGTATACATACGTGCAAGGTATCACCTCGTACGGGTTTGACACAATTGAATGGAATTGAGCACAGATTGACGTGCATTTTTGACGACACCGTGCAACAATATATTGCGAAGCAACGATTCAGATGAGGACTTGTGTGAGTGTTTTTTCTTTCCACTCCCTCGGTCGTGATGTAACCACCCACCCCCTTAAAGATAAGAGACCTACACCCTCTCGCGTCGATAACAATTATTCATCGCTCGGGCGAGATAAGCTAAGCTGCTACAAACTCGGCTCCTCCGTTGGCGCCTGGCGCGTTATGATTACCCGATATCGAACTATGTGGGGCACTCGTAATTATACGAAACGGCGTGGGTGCGAGCTGATAATAATAATAATAATAATTTATTGTTCATCAAATCGAGATATTTGGGCGTCAGTCACGTCGATTCACGCGTACGGAAATTTTTTTTTTTCAATTTTCGCAAAATTATCTGGAAAATTACAACGACCCTCAAGAGAGAGAGAGAGAGAGAGAGAGCCAAGGTGTGGCTCACGCGAGTGCGCAATTTTTCAATTGCGTGATGGACGTGCCCCGAGTAAAGAGACGCAATTAAGCGCAACCACAATCATTATACGTCCCGCAGCCTTTTAACTCCGACGCGGAACAACTGACTATTTTATCAAACTTTTTTTTTTTTTTTTTTTTTTTTTTTTAAAACCAAATGACAGGACAAGAACGACACACTTACAACTAACGTAAAGTCACGAGATATCCCTGCATTTCCTCCACCCATCCTCTTGGAGGCACATCGTTATAGGTGCCCAAATCTCTTGAAGGTACGCCAACAATGGTGGCGAGAAACCTCAGTCGCATCAAAAGTCAAACGAGTCCCTCCACCGTAAACACCCCGAGGGTAGGTATTGGTTGGTACATATACACACACGTATAGCTCGCGCCGGCTCCATATCCAGCCGCTGTGTATACTCATACCACCCCCCTGTGCCTTCCTTTCTTCCTTCCCTTCGCATATCCGTTAATCGCCGTCTTATCCTGCACAGCCGCTTATACGACGGTTATAGGTAAACGTGAAAGGCCACCCAAACGCGTATTGTGGTATACATACCCCAAGTATACACCCCATTCCAATGCTCGACAGAGCCGTGAACTGATTTCAAATAAGCTCGATGCGCGGGACGTGACTCCTCTATATCTGCGCTCCTTTATGGATATATATACGGGCTGGTATGTACATATACACGAGGAAGGTAGCCGGTGAAATCGTTTGCACGATCATTTCAATTTTCTTCTCCTATGTCCCATAATTTATCGTCGTTTAACTTTTATACCACCTCCTACAGCTGTGTAGCCCAAGTGAGCTAGTGTGCTAAATCCCATCCTTGACCATCCAAGCGTAATTTCGTGATTTCTACACGCAGTTTATCTGATTATGCAGGAATTTTTGTCATTCGAAAGAAAAATTTCTTCCTTGGGTAAACTCGATTCGGTTGATTATACCCAGACATTTGCATCGCATCGCGATCGAGGGAGACAAGTTAATGCAGCTAAGCCCATCAGTCGCGTTCGACTACATATAATACGTTGGGAGGAAAAAAAAAAAAAGAAGAAGAAGACGACGAATAAGTAAGTAGTCGATAAATAGCACGCCAACGCGAACAAGACAAAGCCAGCAAACTGCGCTCGGCATTTACACCGCAGTCGCGCGCATATAGTATCGATCTTACACCCACTACGGGGACGTTGTACAAGATGTAGAGAGAGAGAGAGAGCCCGACAGTGCGAATGAGCCACATATTTTTTTTTTTTTACTCCTCGTGGGCTCTTTGAGTTTAAAAGATTTATCCGTGTGAGGTTGTAGAATCTGAGAATTTCGAGGAACGCAAGCACAGCAGCTTGAAAGCTGCGTTTTAATTATATTCCGATCGAAAGCTCTCTATACCCGATGTTTTTCGGGTAGAGGAAAATTTGATTTCTTTTTTTTTTTTTTTAGGACTAAAAGTAGACTAAACGGTAGACCAAAGTGATTTAGTTGCCGAATTTTTCACAACTGACACATGCATACCGTGCACCATGTTCTCTTGTTTGGCGAAAATTTCGTTCGTCCACGGTGGGCTTTTGTAGTTTAACCGTACACACGCCACTACATTTTGAGTCTCGTAAGCAGATCTCTTTTTACATGTATTATTAAATATAATGAAAAATGTAAGTTGCATGATCCTCCAGCCAAGGCCCACTTACCATTTAAACGGTAAAATAAACATAAACATGGCAACTTAACTTTTTTTTTTTTTTTTTTTTTTCTTTTCAACTGCATATGCATGTACTTAAATGAGTCCAAGTTGTCATGCCCCTCGTAAAGTTAAAGGCCTTCGGCTGGTCACGTTTCCCCCCGTAGGCCTTGCAGCTGCGACGATAACGCGGGGCAAAAGCGCCGAGAGAGAAAGCTCCAAACGAGCTGCTTTTTTTGCCATCCCCCACTGTACGACCGCTCCAGTACGTATATTTACGTAATAGTACATCCTTTTTTTTTTCTTCTTTCTTTTCTTGCACATTACTAAGACTAAAAAAAGTCATACGACGAGTTTTTGGTGCGCCAGGCGATTGGGAAGAAAAATAATTGTTCTTTGAAAATAATATCGCGTAGCACGTGCCACTTGCATCGAGTAAGTAAGGCTGCCCGAAAGCATCAACCAACCCCCTCTGCACCTATACACATTTACGGAGCCTTAATGCACGTACGTGCTCGCCAAACGGCATAATTAAACGACACTATGGATTCGGGGAGGAGGAAAGTGTAAGTGCCCGGGAGAGCCCCGTCTTGGCGGCACCTGGTGCAACATCGTCGCCCCTGCGTAAGTATACGTATCATATACGGTTGCTCCAAGGTAAACGAAATAACTAAGCAAGTTAAGCCATTACATGTGTGACACCGTCGCTCCCTGTAGCCGCGCAATCGTACATTTTCCAACAAATCGAAGAATATATAATATAATACGTATAACATAGAGGAGAAAACGAGCGCAGAGGCAGCACTGAATTTAACCCAGATAGAATTGCACGGGTTGTGAGTTAGTGGCGAGCGTAGCTGGGAGAATCGACAACAGTTGGAGCTTGCGGGGCTTCGCGGAAGCCCTCGGGCGCGAGACAGAAAAGCTCGGCCGGACAGGTGTATCGGGGACTCGGCCGAGGCGACGCCCTGACTCCAAAGAGTATCTCTCGCGTCGCGGCTCTACCTCGTTTTTATTTCTGTTTTTTTTTTTTTTTTTTTCACTCGCAAAGCGGTTTCGCGAAAATCAGTCAAAATTTCGAGCCAAGTATTCATCTGTTGTATCATTCTTTACTTTCTCTTCTTTTTGATCCTCAGTGGGGTGCTGATCGAATGGTAGACCATGACGGGCTGCCGCGCAACTGCAACGTTGCGCTTGCTCGCTGGTAATTGCTTTTCTTCTCCTTTTATAAGTGATGATTTTTTCGTGCCATTGCAACATTTGTGTTTCATCTCGTGTGCTCGAGAGTGCTTTTTTTTTTCCATTTCCTTATGCATCACTTTTTTGTTTTGACCCCGTGGTTTTCTCCAGGGCTCATCGCCTTCGTAACATCCCTGAGTCCGGCTTTGCTGCAGGGGGCGCACGCTCCCGACGCATCGGCTCCTCCTCCGCTCAACTGCTCGACCACGGAGAGTTACGGCAATTTGGAGCCGACGAGAGCCCACCAAATGGAGGAGCCAAAGGCATTTAGGTATCGTCAAAGTTCCGTGGATGGGCCACAGCATCAGCAACAACACCGGGACGAGGATTACAACGCTCGACGTGCCGATCGATACCTCGGTAATCCTACCTTGGACAAGTACTCCGACGACATGTTGCGTGGACGCCAGGAGGAAAATGATCACCGAGACGGGCGTCCCTTATTTCGTAGATATCAGGATGATTACGAGGAAAGAAGGAGATATTTCGACGAGGAGGACGACACGACGAGCCTCAAGGTTCAACCATTGGGTAAGGAAGACACCAGTGTTGGTCCATTGAACAAGAACCAAGACGATCAGCACGTCTTCGCAAAGTATCCAGATGTCCACAGTGTTGGCGGACACCCGATCAATCCATATCCAAATAGACACGCCGATGACTTGGAATTGAACAGACGCGCGAATGAGGAAAGCAGAAAGTTTAATGATCGGCAGTCAACCGATCAAAACTCCAAAGTTCATCCGTCAATGGAAACTGCAGCGATTCCTCGTCCCAATTACGCTACCCACGAATCAAAGACAAACACCGATCAGCAGCCCAATAGACGTTTGGACCATCCGATCGAAAAATCTACCAATCAACGAGCAGATAAGAACACCGATGACCCTTACTCGAGAAAACACTACGATGGAATCTCCGATAATACGGACAAACACGACGCGGATCCATATCCAAACAGACACCTGGACCATCTCTACCCCGACGGACGGTCGAGCGATCGGAGTTACGAAAGACAACTGGTCGATCACTACCCAGATAGGCGTCTCGGTTTTCCCGATCCTTTGCCCGATAGACATCGACAAGCCCCTTTGGACAACGAGAGATTCGACGGTCGTAATCCAGATTTCGAAAGACGTCTCGGTGATCTGGTTCCGGATAAGAATAGAGATCTAACCGATCTACACCCAGATGGACGCGTGGAAGGCCCGAACGTGGAAAAGCACCCTGATGCGAAACAACAGCCCACTGGCTTTGGTAAGGACGATATCCGGCCAGATAGACGCCTGAGCGATGACGATTACCGCGCGCGTGTCACGTTCAAGCAAAGCTCTCTGGAACATGACGACGAGGATCAGCATTCGGACGTGAAGGTCGAAAGGTTGCATCCTGAGAGCAGATTCGACGATGGGGTGAGCGTGAAATTCAAAGGATTTACTTTTGACCTGTTATTTTTTTTAAATAGTTCAGTGGTTTACGTGGATCCGTGCTGCTGTTAGATTACAGGTGACGACGACGACGACGATGACGCGTCGAAAGGGCCACGAAAAGAGTCGAATGTTTCTCATCTGGTGACATTTGCATCACCAAACGATTGGGACGAGTACAGGCCGAAGCTTCATTTCCCGAAAAAGTCCGGCGATGAGAGGTACAAAATGGCCACCCTGCACCTGGACAAGGGACTGTTTATCTTCGATTTCCTCAGGAGCGTCCTGTCGATTCTCCTGCCCCGCAACGTTCCCATAGGTGATTTACTTTTATTTGAAAAAATCTCGTACTGCTCGATGACGATTAGATATGAATTTCTTGAAATTTCCATTCGATCAATTTAATTGACTTAATTTTGCCAAGCTGGTATCTCGAAACGACTTTATTAGATTTTAATCGTCGATTCGCTTGACTAACGTATTCTCGTGCTTGTTGTCTGTCCGAAAAATCACCGATTGGAATCCTGATAAAAGATCTTCTAAAAGATACCCTCGAAGGCAATGTAGATGTCTCAACGCTCATTTCCAAGGTAATTGTCCAACCAAGTCGCCTAATAATGACTTGAAAAAAAATGTAATCAATTAAAACTAACGAAACGAAAAATTTTCCGCCTCACATAGTCCATTCACTTGGAGTTGGTGTTCATCGCCGTGGTAATAATCCTGGGACTTTTGATGTTCGTCGTACCCAGTACCGAGTGTTACCTCTGCTGCAAGTCACACCAGTACAAGTACAAACGCACCCGACAGGGCTCCACAGTGTGTTTCCTCTGTATCTTTGCAATAGTCATTGGGTAAGATGCATATTCACAAGAGCAAACTCTAATCAATGATAATATGCTTACTGCAGCATGCACCTGTACAACCCTGTAGAGTATTATTCAGATAAACCATACTTAATGTGTAATTTTTAATCGGATGCGATGAACGAAATGTAGTTTTTTACTCTATCGGAGAGTGGAAAAAAAAAAAAAAAAAAAAAATCTAAACTGCATGTACAGAATAAAAAAAGAGTAAATGAAAAATAGAATATTGTAGCAAAAACAAAACTCAATGCACGGACTCATTGAAGCCACGTAGACGCGAGCTTCTTCCCTCGGATTCCCTTGAAAAAAGCACATCCTGTCGATTATATTCCGCATTGAAAAACTGCACGAAACCCAAAAAAATTAGAAAAAAAAAAAAAAAAAAAAATGCAATAAAAGAGATGGGATCAGTAGTAAACCTGTGTAAAAACAGCGCGTGCGTGATGACGATGCTGGTCACCAACGAGCAAGTGAACGCTGGCATCGAAAGGATACCCGAGACCGTCGAAGCTGCACTCCAGGATCTTCGCGACTACAATTCCGGCACTGCCAACCAACTACGGAAGTGCATGACAAGGAGCCTTGACATCGCTAGCGAAGCCATTCTCGCGGATTTGGACAGTGAGTTATTATTATTATTATTATTATTATTATTATTATTATAATTTTTTTTTTTTTAATGTTAAAATACAATAACTATACACGTAATTTCTTTACATTATCTCCATATATATTCACGATTGGAATACATATATGTACTGTATTGTACATCGAGTGTCGTTGATTCTGTTTTGTGGTGCAATTACATCATAATTCATCCGACTGGATCACAAGCAAATATTTTATCGATAATCCGATGATGGGGGATGAATAAAAAAAAAAAAAGAAAAAAAGTATAATTAACAATCAAATCGTTGAAACGAGTCTCGGGAGTTTATCAACTTTACGCTGTAAACTCTCGAGGGCATCCGGGGAATTCTCGCAAAAAGGATAATAAGCTTGGCTTGGAAAACATTTCGACTGCCTTGGCGACGGCACGTATACTTTAAAAACCCATTTCATTTTACCGCGGCTGCACGTACTATACGTGCTATTAAGGGTGTGAATTTATACGACGCCGACGAGACTATACGTATACACCTCTTAGGTGCACATCCGAGGTAAGGAAACTTTACTTTCCCTGAATACTTTGGCCCTACCAAGAAAGTGTCGAGCATATAGTCACTTTGGAACATAAGTTCGAGGGGTCGAGTGGCTCCTTTTGAGGATCGTACAGGTACACTTTTCAATTCGAGATTTGCAGCTTTGCCGAAAAAAAAAAAAAAAAAAAAAAAAACGCGCGCGCGCTACTTTTTTACTTGTACTCGGTGAAACGGCGTTTCATTGCTCGCACCTCGAATGCGAGTCTACTTGATTGAACAATGTATCACGGCCCCTCCCACAAGGGAATTTCCACATTCGCGTGATCGCCGCTTACAAAGGATTACGCGTTCGGTTGGGTGTACGCGAGTCGCTCTGTCCCTCCCGAAAATCAAAGCTCCTTCCCCCAACTTTGGCACTCGTAACAGCCCCCCCCCCCCCCAAAGTCCCGATCCGTGTAAATACTTGCCGATTGCCGAGCGGCTGGGATCAAAGTATCGAAACTTCAATTGGAGATTGATCATTGCTGTACAATGGGTGTGCGTGTGTGCACGGGGACCCTGAAAAACTGAGGGGGGAAAAAGTCATCGAGCCAGATCAGGGGTTGTTATCCAAGCCCTACTCGAAGCCAAATAGTGGTACAGCCTTCGCGGTGGTAGCATGTACCTCCAAGGCAAATCCGTGCAAAGGGGCGTAATAATCACTGTGCCGCGTGCAGCGTGCTATCGTGCACTCAATCGACCCCCCCCCCCTTGCCGACCCTCTTTCGGTTCAAGGTTGAGATTCCTCACTCGTATATACCTGTGTAGGGACCCTCTCTAATAATATGTGCCTGTGGAGAAAGATCCGTAGCCACATCAGGTGCTGTGTATAGGTAAGCTCGTGCTTACTTAGCTAACGGACGGCCGAAGAGTTTATTGGGTTAATTACGCTCCGTTTGGCCTACATTTGCGAGAAAGGGGGAGGATATCCGATGATGATGAGGGTGTGTTATTAACTCGCAATGTATTTTTTTTTTCTTTTTTTTTCTGCATATTGAGGCAGAGAAAAGAGGTACGTATGTACAAGCATTTCTGCAGTAAGCCGTCCGTGTGTGGATATGTTGGTTACGACCCCGATGAGCTTCCCATTCGGCTTTTAATTGCACCGTTCGGGAAAATTTAATGAGGATGTGTGTAAGGAGGAAGGGCGACCGGGTGTTTTTTTTTTTTTCCTTTCTTTTAATTGGACCTCGGCACTGAGATCGGGTTTTCGGATTTATATGGGGGACAAGGACAATTGCCTTCGATCGTTGATTTATCGGAGAAAAAAAAGTAATACAAGTGATGAAACCCACGCTATAGTAACGGCGTACAATTTTTTTTTTTTATTTATTTTTTTTTTTAACAAAATTTATTTAAAGTAGCCCGGACGAATCATACGCTGGAGACACTCGTGGAATAAAAAGCTACAGAGGTAAAAAAAAAAAAAAAAAAAAAAAAATGCACACCTACACCCTATAAAACACATGTTCGATACATCGAGCGAACTCCCACGCGGGATTTTGGGCAATAGACGCGTTTGGAGAGATGATACACGTGGCGCGGAAAACACGACGAATGAATCCATTATACGCGGGAGACCGCGCTCGCGCAATTCCGAGCATAATCGACGGACACCGGGCAATTTGCGATCAATCCCGACTGTCGTCCGTCCCTTCCTTCCCCCTATCCCTCCATCGTTTGTCCCCTTTACATTATACGATGGGGAGACGAAAATCGATGCCTCATTTTCCCAGCTCGCGTTTCAAAATTTACTCGATCGTCATGGCGAGTACGTATCGACGATTTGATCAGTTACACGTATACATCTCAAAGAGCAATCTACCACCTATCTCCTTTCATTTTTCCAGATGATATAACGTGTACCCCCCCAAGTGACATCCTTCAACCTCGAAAAAACAATAAACAAGCACCGTCCTGTCAATCCCGAAACGCGACCCGTCCCTCGGGTCTCTCCTCCTCCGCTTCGAGACCCGATCCCTGCAAAAATACACCCCCACACATCGATGACCCGCGTCTAATGAACGTCCGGTCGGAGCTCGACTACTTGACCATCCAGCCGGAGCGGACGTGCACACGCGAGGCCGATCTTAGCGTCCGATCTTTTCCGTTTATGGGTCAATAGGCTGCATATCTATACGCGAGCTTTCTTATGCCGAGGGGGTTGCGGGGGGTGGGGGAGGAGTGTCTTTTAATAAGCTGCATTATATGTAGACTTTCGTGTGTGGGCGTGTATTGTGATAGCAGCAGCTTGGGTGGACGGATGCGACGATCGACGTGGGCTCGATGCGACGAGGGGTTGACGATAGTCCATAAGTGGAGCGCTGTTTTTTGCGACTAGATTTTTTTTCCCTTGGATAAAATATCTTTGCTTAGTGGATTGTGTCATGTGTGACGAGAGTGTAGATGACAGAGTGGCGTTCAAAATTTTTTTGAGTGATTTTTCGGCAGATAATAGTTTGAAAGTGTTACCGAAGGCTTTGAAGTAGAAAAATCCGAGTTTGGTCAGACGCTCATGATTATTTGCACTGGTTTTTTCGTTTGAATACAATTTTTATTGTTTAATGGTTTGTGATGTCAATAAAAAAAGTGGCGTAAAGAACAATATTCTTAATCACCGTTTGCCGGATAATTTCTTTTAAGTAGAAAAGTCCAAGTTTGGTCAGACGCCCCTGATAAATCATACTCATTGCCGTGTGACTGGGATTGAGTAGGAAATAAGTGACATCGGGGACGTATTCACTTGACGTAAAAATCGTTTGGAAAATAATTTAATAAACAGACAACAGCTTAGGCTCTCCTCGAATCATCCATAAATGTTCAATCTGAGCTTCATTTTTTCCGGAATCTTTGTTTACATAGACATTGTACTGTTGATACTGCTGGTGTACGGTTTCATATCGTTCATCAACGACTACTACGAGATAGAAATCGAGTACGACTATGAAATCCCATCGTGAGACGGAGGAAAAACAAGTAAAACAACCATTAGACGAAAGAAACGTCTGTCAGAGTGTTAATTGACGAGATAAGGCATTACTTTTTTTTTTCTCTTGTGTTTATGCGCAGACGTGGAGGAGTTGCTGGGAAAGCCGGTGCAGGCTCAGCTGTCGCAGGAAACAGGAGTCGACGTCGCTCTCGAAGCTCTGATGGACGTGGCCAATGGTAAGCAAACTTTCTCTTCTACTCTAATAGTAGGCAAAATTTGATGGTCAATCTGTAGATAATCTATACGTATGTATTTCGATTGACTCTGAGTTTTTCAATCACTTTCGTCCAAAAGAAAAAGCATCTCAAGAAAAACCTAAGCTCATAAACACGATGATAGATGAATCGTTCCAACGAAAGTCGGACGATCCATCGCCCGCTAACGGCAGCTCATCTGCAAATAAATCGACGCGTCCAACTCAGGCAATGCACCTAAACTTTTCAGTAGACCGACACTTTGTCCTTCTCACACGTATAAGGCTACACAGAGTCAGCCTGCAATTTCTAGGGGTCGAAACACGTCATCCGCCGTCACGGGAATATATCCGAGACGACGGATATACGTCAAATATCGCGAATTCCCGTGCCTCCGCCGTCGGAGTTTCTCGTGATTTATTTCACCACCGGTGAGCCGCAGTCGATGTGTATAGGTACGCGGCAGCTTTTCGCATCCGAACGAACAGGGGGTGCTGAAAAGCACGGCGACGCGGAGTTTGGGAGTTTTTGCCCGTCCATTGAGAGATTCTCCTGGAAATTTGACGCGAGGAAGGAATAGCTCGCGCCAATGGAGTTTACTGTCAATAAAATGCTAAATTTTCAGGGCTCGAGTGCTTGGTTTTCGTCAAAAATATTTTTCGGATATCCGTGCGACGCGCTTCAAGAGTATATTTTTCCTGCCACGTAATAAATTGTTTTTTTTTTTTTTTTTTAAGTAACCAAAGATTAAAAAAAAAAAAAAAAAAAAAATCAAACAATACAAGGACTCGTATGCGTAAAATCCCAGCAATTTTAATATCCTATGGGTAAAGCCTTGTTGATTTCCGTGTCCCTCTCTATTGCCCTTCTCACAGAGAGAAAGAGCAACCCTCAAAGCGACGCTCACCCGCAAGTATACAGCTAAACCTTCGGCATCACCCCTCGGCTGTCCGGACTAGCTCTGGCAATTAGTTTCATTAGAGGAAATGTCCAAAAGAGAGCGAGAGTCCTGCGGCTCGCCGTCTTATCCTCCCGCGTGGCTTTGGCACACAAAGCCCGGATATCGGTAACTGCAAGCCCAGCTCGATGTTCAAGCAGGGGGTACTCATAATCAAGCCGATAGGGTCAAAGGGTACGCTTTGGCTATTGATTAAAACAAATGGTAATTAAAAGCAAACAAAGTACGTAGCACCGCCCACGAAGAAACATTCGTCCACAACTGTCGACGTGATTCCCTCCGTCGGTTGGAGCTACTTTTATTGTCACACGTACTACCGTCCACGCATACCGTACCGAGCACTACGTGCTTGCGTGTGAGCGGAGGCTCGAAAGGGTGAAAAATCCTTGTGATTTCATGGTGCAGCGACGACGGAGCTGGCGTACAAGACGGACGGGCTGCTGAAGCGCGCGGAGAGGGCCCGGGAGTTCGGGAGCGAGTTCGGCAGGGAAGTGGACGACCTGAGGCGCGAGCTCGAGAGGACGACGCGTGACTGCGGGCCCGAGGACCGCTCGCTCTGCGCCGTGATCGACCCTTCGGGGCTCCATCTGGCTCTGAGGCTCGAACGGGTGAGTTGCCGACTTGGTTTTCAAATCGTACCAGAGTAAAAACGCGGGTGTGTTTCACGTAGTGCTTTGTCCACACTAATTTTAAGGAAACCCGCAGTGTGTACACACGTACGGAGAGGCTCCCCTGGGAAATCTTCCACGGGTCGGCGGATACCATTTCCCCCCTCCCCCGCTTCCCTCTACTTTTTTTTTCTCCCCGTTTCTCATTTTTCTCCTTCTTCTTCGATCGATGTTAATTACGTTTGCGGGACGACGACCATTCGGGTTGGAAAAGAAAAAAAAAAAGAAAAAAGAAATCCTTCAGCGGTCGAGATTCAACGTTATCAGCGCACATTTAGAAGTAACCGTGCAATCAACGCGTGAGCGCGGAAAGTGGGTCTCCCCCCCGTGGCATTAATTTACACGTCGTTACGAAAGCGCGTGGAGAGATTAGATGTATACATATCTGTGCTTTTTCGCATAAAAGTGCCGGTTCAACCAAAGTCGTCAAATATAAGTTTTCCCTTTGCTCGAGGGTGGGTGGAATGGAAAAGTTGGTAGGGTATGATTTTCATGTCGGAAAAATTGTTTGTCCCGCAGCTGGCTCGGGACGATCGGCTCGTGAGGCTGAGGTCGACGAGCAGAGACAATTTGACGGAAGTCGGACGGCAGGCTCGAGGCGAGTATCTGTACGTGCCGCACCACGTGGCGAGGACCACCTTGGAGGCGAGGAATCGTGAGTTGACGTCTTTTTTTTTTTTTTTTTTTTTTACTCTAGTTGTCCCTTTTTTTTCAAGTGGAATTTTGGCATGGTAAAAAGCCACTGTGATCGCAAGCACATGCTTACGTACTATCCTCTAGAAAGTTACGCGCGTGCCAAATTCAACCAGTGCGAGTTTATCACTCGGCTGTTGGGCAAGGAATAAACGGTCGAAAACCCTCTCTCGGTGGTCGAAACTTTTCAGCTTATTTCACGAAAAAGTAAAAACCACAAATACGTGTGTCACGAGTCGACTGCCGTGCCGTCCCTTTTACTTTTTTGCTCCTCTCAGAGTCGGTATACATAAAAAACATGACGCAGTTCGGGGTAACAAAGTTGGGGGTGTATCGCTTGCTTGGATATTTTTTCTCTCCATTAATGCGGAAATGTGGTGGGACGAAAAAACTCCCTCTATGAAGCTGAGATTTAATCTTCAATCTGCTTTGAAATTTCGTACTTTTTTAGCCCTCGGGTGATGGATGGGATTTTTTTTTCTCCAACAGCGCCAATTATGATTTAACGTTCGCAACTTTATACAAAGTTACCTTATAAAGATCGGAGGTTTTTCGCGAAAAGTGACGAGACAGAACTTTTTTCGAGTTAAAATTTTATCATCACGAGGCTTGGGGACGCTCTTTTTCGAGTATTTTGTGATCCTATAACAAACTTGCTAAAGAAAAGCAGTGCTTCAGGATTTTTAATTTTCAAAGTTGTTGCTCTACGTGGATAATATTGTTTAAGGAAATGTTGAGGTTCCCCCTTGACACGTACGCTTACACCAGTGCACCCAGTTGGAACAATATCAATGACAACAAAAGTCTAAAAGGTATAATCGATCGCCACTGGCGCGCTAAACTTCGTGATTGATACGAGGTGAGGACATTGTTGACGCATCCGCGTCATATTTTTCCCTCGACAAATCTCACCACCGCCGCCATCTCGAAAAATCCTCTCAATTTTTTTCCTTTACTTTAACTCGCTCTCCGTCTCCTTCTGTCTTGCACAAACACACATATACATACACCCCTCCCTTCCACTTTGTTGTCACTTTTTTTCTATTTATTTCCGTTCCTGCGTCGCGTGTGCAGCGCGTGCACGTAAACTTTCGATATTATCGCAATCTCTCCTCTCGACTGCAATACATCTCCTCTATTCATCCCCCTTCCACCACCCCGCACTAGCTCTCGCTCTCCCGAAACGTTGCATGAGTTTGTTGGGGATATTTTTCACGGTGAAGCAAAAATGTTGAATCACCTTTGCACCTAATTACGTGTAAAATTGGATCTACCGCTTGAAACTTTGTAATATTTTTACATAGCTTTCAGAGTTTCCGCGACGTGGTTACGTGAATTTTTTTTTTTTTTTTTATTCAGTAGGTGCACCTATTGATGTAAGCAAAAAAGGATTATCAGCATAAAAAAAAAAAAAAAAAAAGAAAAAAGATCGAGTTTCCGAAATTCAGAGCACACATTACTCTCGTCAGTATAGCGCGTAAACATCGTTAGCCTCCAAGGCACTGCAGAGCTATCCGAACGTATCTAGCTCCTCTTTTACCCACACGCGCGCGTCATCTGTAGCGCGTACAGTAAATCTACCAGCGGCTCTGGATTATCTGAAAAGCTTACGCTCGAGATAGCAAGGAAAAAAAAAAAAAAAACTAAGAGAGAAAGAAAGTGTCTCCTGGGGGCTAATGCGAAATCCATAACGCGGGGAAAATAGCGTGTACTTGTACCGTAGGAGTGTTGATCGAGCTTTTTTTTATATATAATACGAGTGAGTGTTGATCGACGAGATGGAATAGGATTGGTTTCATCTTACCATAGTTCCACATTTTTTTTACGATTACTCTGGCGGTCCATCCTTGGGTTTCTTCAATCAGTACTGGGCAAACGTGTGAAACGAACTGCGATTTTTTTCCCCTCCAGGAATTCGTAGGGAAATCAATACGGCCCGAGCAAAGGTATCCGACGAGGCCCGTAGCATCGAGGCGAGTGGTTCCGATTTGACGAACCAGCTGGATCAGGTGCGCCGGATAAAGGACGAAGTGACGCCCTACGTGCAAAAATTCGAGAACATTCGCTGGATAGTGGGCTTTGGTGAGCGTGGAAGGCGAAAAAAAAAAAAAAAAAAAAAAGAAAAAAGAAAATTTATTTTGAAAATGAAAGGAAATTAATTAAATTGTCCTTCCAACAGCGACGGCGATGTGTCTGCTGTTCCTCTGGCTGATACTGTTTGCCGCGCTGCTCTGCCGGTGCGGCTGCTGCGAGCACAAAGTGCGCCCGACCCTTTTATGGTGAGTGAAAGGCGACAGCCCCTCGATGATCGATGCGGGCTGTGACTTTTTTCGAATCATCCAGTCTCCACGCGCCAGCGCGTTTATTTTCTGTTTTTTTTTTTTTTTTTTCCCCTTTCCCACGACTGAGAGCCCCGGCGATACGACCTCGGGGAGCTTTTTTTATTTCTCGTCGTAGGGGACGGGCTTGTGTTTTTGCTGTTGATTTTTCGCTTGTTTGTTCGTCGGGTGGGATATTGGTGATGATGCGGTGGTGTCGTCGTGGACGATCGAGCGCAAGGATCGGCTGTCAACAACCACGAGAGTCGGGGGACACGTTTCACGGAGCTCTCGGTATTTTTTATTTTTTTTTTATTTTTTTTTTTTTTCGTATCTTGGATAAGAGTTTTTTTATTTACAAAAAACCATGCTTTCGCAATGACTGTCATGTTGAATTGTATGATTAAAAAAATGTCAAGTACACGATGTGTGTAAATAATGGCTTGATCGTGCAATTCTACATTTACATTATAGGCAGTGTTTTTGGTGAAAATTTTTTTTGTCAATAAAAACGATTAAAATACCCTCGCATTTTTTTGTTTACATCTGTACGAGTATAGTTGTTAAAATTGACTTGCGTCCAATATGTAATGACGCATCAATAAATCTTTCCGGTCGATTCAAGGTTCGCCTGCCTGAGCTGCCTGACGTCGATAGCCCTTTGGCTGGTCCTCATAGCATCTCTGGCGATCGCCTCGCACGCGGAGATGCTGCTGTGTCGACCGCTCGACGACCCGGAGTACAGGACAGTCGAGGCCGTCTTGGAGACGAGAGTCTTCCTGGGCAGGCGACTCAGCGTTCCTATGAAGGATCTCTTTGAGTGAGCTGTCCAAAAAAAAATCACGAGCTGCTGTCTTGACTCGATATCTTTTTTAACTCTCGATTCTTCCCCACCCCGCAGAAAGTGCGAGCAACACGGCTCGGTGTACCCGGCCTATCAGCTGGACAGTACGCAGAGGCTGGACCAGTTGACGGCCTACTGGTCCTGGGCGGGGTTGAAGCGCGCCTTTGGTAGACTCAAGGTCGATCTCTCGGGCTTGAGGATTTTTTCCCCCAACTTGCGCGAGAAACTGCAAAATTTACTCTACGCCACTGGTCCTAATCTCACGGAGCATCGGGTCATGGTGAGCATTTATAATAAGCTTGAATCGCATTATTATTCCATGTACGATACTATGCGTATCATTTTTAGATTATTTTTATACAACGAGATAGTAATCCCGTAAACCACTAGTAGAAACAGTCGAATACAACCAGACACCGTGTTAATTATTTATTTATTTTTTTACATTCATTTTCCACGGTTATAATCCATGAAATTGAACAAACAGTAGAAACAGTCAAATATAGTCAGACGTAGTGTAAAGCATATTTATTTTTCTGGAGTTGTCGCAAGTATACACCGGTCCCGACACATTTCAATTGAAAGTAGAAACAGTCGAATGTGGTCAGACACTATGTAAAATGTTGTTTTTATTCGTGAGTATATTATTGGTGGGCGTTAACCTTGTAAATCACTAGTAGAAACAGTCGAGTACATACAGACACCGCATCAAACTTTGATTTTTTTATACTCGCAAGCGTTGCTGGGGGGAAGCAAATCTCGTTGGGTTTGAGTAAAAGTAGAAACAGGAGAGTTCAGTCAGACAGAGGGAAAATAATTGTTTAATTGTAATTTATTGCGAATCCTTTTAGATTCAATGTCAAGCAGAAACAGTAAAATTGAGTTAGCCAGGGTGTGACAAACATATTATAACCCCCAGATCCAAGGGCCAATACTAAACAAGGATCTGAACGCGCTGTCGGAGCAGGTGGAGAACGTGGCCCGGCAGCTGAGCGACAGGCGAACGGCGCGTGCCTTCCAGACCATAGCCGTACAGATGCGAGATCTCCTGTCGCGGCGCGTCAAGCCCCTCATGAAAATGCAGGACGAGCTGGTCTACCAGCTGGCCGCGCTGGACATACACCTGCAGCCCCTGCAGAGCCAAGTCAACCGTACCCTCGTCCAGCTGCGCGATGTTCAGTACCACATCGACAATCAGGGGGATAAGATCGGACAGTTGGTGAGTTCGTGGGGTCTTGTAGGCTCGACAGGGTCATCGTGTCACACGAGTGATCATTATAAAGCGCGCGTACAATGAAAGCCGATTAGAGTGAAGAGAAAGTAAAATTTGTTTATCCACGCGTATGGACGTTATTTAATACACGTACGTGTATGTGTGCTTTAGAAAGCGAAAGCGTACGTCGATAGGTTGTCGGGATATTTGGATCAGTGGCGGGCTCACGTGCTCACCGAGGTCAGCTCCGGAGTATCCAAGTGCCGACCTCTCTGGGACATTCTGCGAGGCATCAAGCTCCTCTTTTGCAGCCACATTTTGGGTCCCCTGGTACGCTACTTACTTATTATTTATGTTTTAAAATGGGAGAAAAAGGAAAAAAAAAAAAAAAACTGTCACAACGAAAATTTTACGTTAAAGTGTATCCCGAAAACAAATAGTTACCGGAATAATCTCATTTGACCGCCGAGTGGTTCAGTTTAGCTCAGAGTAACTGCATCATCAGTTAGTGGTGCAATTATAAAAAAAACAAATATAGATAATTTCTCGATGCTTTTGCAGAACGGTTACTGGTTTTCCCTTTTCGTATGTGTGGTCACTTTACTGATATGCACCCCGACAGCCCACAACTTGGCCTCGAGTTACTGGACCCAACCGTCCAAGTCTAGCAGAGGATCGGTGCTTCTGTCTAGGCAGTGAGTCCTTTTTGTCCAAGTGACAAAACCGATTTGACGCATATAGGCTAATAATTATTTTGTCATGTCTAACAGGGGAAGCCCAGATACGGTTGTCCTGGAGCGCGAAACATGGCAAACACCGCGGTAAGTCGATCCTATTGATTTTTGTGTACTGTCTCATTTTTTTTTTTTAACGTAAAGGTAGTTTTATGTTTTCAGTAATATTATTATGGTATTATTTAATAAATGTATTAAAATGTTTCATGTTTGGTACAAGTTAATAATTACGATTGTCATACATATAAAGACTCGCAAAATCAATAAAAATGAACTTACTATATCAAGCTATGTAAATAATTATTGGTGCTTTTGATAATGTCATGGTGTATGGGCACATCATCAACGGTACGTAGACCAGTGATTTTACCTTTTTTTGTTTATTTAATTATAGTCCGGCACCATCGATGGACAGCTGGTGATCGTCTCAGCTTCACAGTAAAACCCCTCATCGCGATGTGACCTACTCATTAAAAAAGCTGCAAAACCGAGAAAAACAACAATGTACATCATCAAAATGAACCAAAATATGAAGAAAAAAAAAATTGATGCTCCATTCTTGAAAAAAAAAAAAAAAAAAAAAAAAAAAAAAAAAAAAAAAAAAAAAAAAAAAAAAAAAAAAAAAAAA